CTCCAATACATTCTCTGCTGGACTGACAGGCCTATTAAGTAGAAACAACTTTTTTTTCTCCAGAGATGACCTCCATTTTCAACAGACCTAAGAGTCATTTCCTATTTAGCCCTTTAGAGTCAGTACACAGGTTTCCTGAGCTTTTATGGCTTTTATTGTCACTTGTGATCCCCTAAATGTTGTTTAACTGAAAACTTATGAAAAGACCTGCCTCCATATGTGCCTTTCTGTTAGCTTTCTTTGATTCCAGCCGTGGGACTCTTCTGTTCATGTAATATATATTATATATATTTTCACAAGTGGAAAATAAGACATTAAAAGATGCTGTTTCCCTATTTCTGAAAAGGCTTTAAGTGTCTTAGTATTGTGATTTTTTTTCTTTTTGACTATGTATCCATGGTTCTCAAGACCCATTTCTAAAATTCAGTTTCGAAAACAGGATGAGAAACATACACTTAAAGGAACTTCTGGGCACTATTATACTGAGATGAGTCTGTCTATTGTTCATATCAACATTTAGGCCAAGCAGTGTATCCATATTTTCTTGATTAGGCAGAGGAATATATTCTCATATATTCTCATCAAGAAAGGTACCAAATCAATCAACATGCAAAGAAACAAAACAGACATCATAATGTTTTGGTTTACACAATGGATATGGTGCTGATATGCTGTGGGTAGCTACTACTTTTTAATGGCATTGAATGGCAGCACTGAGGGGTGCCTGGGTGGCTCAGTGGGCTTAGCGTCTGGTTCTTGATTTCAGCTCAGGTCATGATCTCAGGGTCATGACATAGAGCCCCACATAGGACTCCACACTGAGCGTGGAGCCTGCTTGGTGTTCTCTCTCTCCCTCTTCCTCTGCCCTCGTCCCACTCACACTGACAGTCTCTCTCTCTCTCTCTCTCTCTCTCTCATCAAAAAAAAAAAAAAAAAAGAATGGCAGCACTGACATTTGTAATATACTCACGGGAGCTTTATCTTTTGTAACAGATGTTTTGAGGGTCCTGCCCAAGTATTATCTTGGCATTCCCTGTTAAGCACCAACCACTCAGCCTCTTACTATGAAATTTTGTGACCCCATTCCCAGAGGGCATTCTCTGGCCTCTGGAGCACTTGACACATGAGGCAGGCAGGTGAGAAATTCCAGGAGTTAATGTCTCTCAACCAATGGTAACAGGAATTGAGAGATGACTACCCTAGGTTCCTTGCTCCTCAGGAACATTGTTCTGAGGCTTGCTTTATGAAGCCTTACAGAAGTTCCCAGTGGGATGAAGCCCCTGGTTCTCATAGGGGAAACCTTCCATCTGACTCATACTGCATGAGCTTCCTTTTCTTTTTTCCTCACTTCTCTACTCCTCTACTGGTCCATTCTGGGTTCACTTCCCAAATAAACTTCTTTTACTCAAGTCCTTGTTTCAGGGTCTTATGGGGAAATCCAACCCCAGCATAATAAGTTAGCTGGGACAAAGATGACCTAAGAAGCAGATTCTCAACACCAGCTTCTTGAACTGAATCATTCAGCAGCTAGGTGGTACTAAGGACCACTTTGCTGATAAACAACATGGTGGAGCTAATCCCTAACAAACTGTATGTAGCAACATAATTACTAAGACTGTCATCAAGTGGATTGGGATAGAATATAGATGGAAGGGGGGTGCCTGGGCAGCTCAGCGGTTGGGCGTCTACCTTCAGCCCAGGGCGTGATCCTGGAGACCCAGGATCGAGTCCCGCATTGGGTTCCCTGCATGGAGCCTGCTTCTCCCTCTGCTTCTGCCTGTGTCTCTGCCTCTCTCTGTGTGTCTTTCATGAATAAATAAATAAAATCTTAAAAAAATATATAGATGGAAGGAAAGTCTATTGTTCTTGTCTTTGAAAGACATGAGATCATGGAGTTGGCTAACTTCCAGAAACTCTGTAGGAGGAAACGTTACAGTCTTGAGTCAGCCAACACTCATCTCAGGATTTGGTGTAAAAGCTCGAAGACCTCCAAACAATAATCAAAGTGATCCTCATTTCCTTCTGCTATAGGATATAGAGAGGATGGATGCTGAAAATCAGGCCTCAGATCTGATTTTAGGAGAAGCAGAGTTTTAAAGGAGACTCCCTACACAGAGCTAGCAAGTCTTCTCCACTAAAATGAGAATTCTTTTAGGAAAGAAGTCAGACACTGAATATAGGAGGAGATATTTGGATAGATACTCTTAGGAGTCTTGGCCCCAAAGATGTTTCTGAAACCATGCCCAGAAAAAAAAGACCCTTGCCCATTCCTAGGGGAGAAAAGTCACTTGCCACATGAATGCTCCACCTGAATAGGATGTTTTATAAAGTGATACTTTTCCTTCTAGAGTTCTGCTACCAACTGCCCTCGTTGCTTCTGGACAAATAACTAGGATCAGGTCTCACTATGAACTGAGTAGAAAAATATATTCTATGTTGCAGGGTAAAATGGATTATTAACCAAAAGAACTATAGGACCTGGCTAATAAGTACTGGTAGGAATCTGGAGAATGTTCTTGATTTGGTCTTGAGATGCAATCAGGGAGGACAGAATGTAGCACAAGATGATAGATAATCTGTTTCTAGGAGAGCACTCTTTAATGAGTTAATTTTTAACATTCTGGCAAGTAAACCTGGAACTGATCCCAATGTGCTACTAGAATAGCTCTTTGAAGCTTGGAAACAATGTTGGCCTAAAATAAATGATGTGGAGATGCCAGAACTACCTTGGCAAAGTATTAGAAGAGAGTTCCAAGGTCTCAGAGAGGTGGGCATATTATAATGTATTTATTTTGTGATATCAGAGAAACTACCAACTGATTATGTTCCTCAGGAAAGCCCATAGACACTCCCTTCACTAAAACAATAAGAAGTGTCCGCCAAAAAGGGATACCAGCATCAATGAGAAGCTCAGTGGTCACTCTTCTCTGTACCAGATTTGAGACTGTAAATATGTTGCTGTGTTTCACTGGGAATGACACCAATGTGGTTAAATTCAGTAGGTGGTACTACTTTTAGATGATGTTAGTATATTTAGTGCTAGGTCCTGAATAGCTAGCATCAAAGGTGGAAGTGGGAGTGAAACCTCCTACCATCACTTTAAAGAATCAACTTAAGAAAGCAAGCTTCCCCTTGTTGCAACTCTGGGTTCTGCAGAGTTAGAGGTCTTGATAATTCTACCAGGGGACACAGCAAGGGCTCTGCTAACTCTATAGCTTCAGCTGCTGCCTGATTATTTTTGGCTCCTCGTGCCTACAGGCCTGTTGTTGGAGAAGGCTGTTAGCACACAGGCAGGGGTAATTCATCCCGATTACCAAGAGGATCAGTTGCTGCTAAATAATGGAACAGGAGGAGTCTGACTAGAAATCATGGCACTCGTTGGGGTGCCTCTTGATGCTTCCATGCCTAGTGAGAACTGAAAGGGCAATTGCAGTGATAGCATCTTGCTGAGGACAAGTAACCCGGGACTCATACTCTTAGAAATAAAACTCTTGAGATTTTGCCCCACAGGGTGACCCTAGCCTAGGAGCAGGTTGGTCAGGGGAATGGAAGTGGTAAAGGAGGGAAATGCAGAATATCAATTATCATCTCAAGATTGACTACAGCAGTGGAGACTAGCTTGTCCTACCAACCCTTTGTTCTAAGTTCCCTATTTCTCTCTCTCTCCCTTTTGGAATTATGACCAAGAAGTTCCTTTAAAAAATCAGTGAAAGGGGGACGCCTGGGTGGCTCAGCAGTTGAGCATCTACCTTTGGCCCAGGGCGTGATCCTGGAGACCTGGGACCGAGTCCCACATTGGGCTCCCTGCTTGGAGCCTGCTTCTCCCTCTGCCCATCAATCAATCTCTCTCTCTCTCTCTCTCTCTCTGTGTGTGTGTGTGTATGTGTGTGTGTGTGTATGTGTGTCTCATGAATAAATAAATAAAATATTTTTAAAAATCAGTGAAAAGACAGACTGAACTTAACATGTGGCATAAATGAATCTGAAAAAGGAAGACATGGACTATGGTAGTGAGACAATAGTGAGGAAATGCCCACACCCCTCAGCACCATGCTTCCAATCACAGTCCCCTGCACCTCTGCTTATAAGCATTCCACGGATGCATGGGGTGTGTTTGTCTTGCACATTGGACAGACCAGAGTGCTACAAAGTTAGCACCCCCAGGAGCAGTCTCATCTGAGGCTGACATACAGGGAAGTAAGTTCTTCAGCATGCTCCCCTCCTCAGGTGGAATAAATCTGAATCTCATGCTATGAACGCTCAGAGGTCCCCCTGGGACTGAGGCAAGGTTTCACACAGTGGTAACTTGCTCATTATCACAACCTTTTTGCTTTCCTTTCCTTGCCTGTCCTACTTCTCTACTCCTCTGCCAGTGCTTCCAAGGATCATCTCCCAATTAAGAGATTCTCATTAAAAAAAAAATGTATTTATTTATTTATTTATTTATTTATTTATCTGAGAGAGAAAAAAAGAGTACAAATGGAGGGAGGGAGAGGGACAAGCAGACTCTGAGCTGAGCAGGGAGCCCAACTTGGGGCTGGATCTCACCATCCTGAGATCATGACCTGAGCTGAAATTATGAGTTGGTTGCTTAACTGAGCCACCCAGGCACCCCAAGGGATTTTCATTTTTGATTGAGCTTCAACTGCTAATAGTTCTTAAAACATCAGAGCATCCAGGCAACAATTCTTCATTACCATGGAATCTCTAATTCAGTGTTTTTCTTTCTAAACATCCACTGAACTGTGGTGTCTAAAATATGCGTGGTAAGATTAGAATGGCCTTCTAACCCTAATCCACCGCAGAAAATTGTTATTTTCATGGTCTTCAAAACGAATATCCGTTGATTTATTGATTCCCTTACTCCCTCAACTGATATTTATTGGATAATGACTCAGTTCCCAGGATTTGGCTAGGTATTTTTCTGGAGATACAAATGACTAAATCATGGTCTCAGATATTTAAAAAAAATTTTTTTTGTAAGAAGATCCTATAATCTTTAATATATGAAACACTTCACGAATTTGCATGTCATCCCTGCACAGAGGCCATACTAATCTTCTCTGTATCCTTCCAATTTTAGTATATGTGCTGCCGAGGCAAGCACTATGCTCTCAGATCTTAAGATAGCAACTCAAATATGTAAATAATTTACCACGTATCAAGAGAGAGGTCAGACATCCAAACTAAGATATCTCTTCCAAAAACAAGTTGGTTTTAAATCAGGGACCACAGCTCCAATCGTGTTTAAGGAAATTGAACATATGTGCCTACAGTTTTCTTCCTAAAACACCAGGATCTAGGCACACAAGACTGTTGTGTTCAGCTAGCACTTCCTGATGTTAACAATATCCTTTGCCCCCCCCCTTTTTTTTGGCCTGGAAACCCTACTCATTCTTCAAGGATCAGCATAATGGCACGGCCTTGTAGCCTTGTAGGCCACTGTACATAATTCAAATCTCTTTCCACACTTGCTTAGCTCTTGGCCATTATCACTCACATGCTGCATTATGGTGATATGTTAACTGTTATTTATAAAATACAAACTATGGGAGAGTCACTGATATGTAAGCTTTCCTTTATTATGTCATTTAATCCTCATGGCTGCCCTACATGGAATTAATTACTCATCTCCTCCCTTATATATGTAGAAATTGAAGGACAGAGATACTGAGCAACTTGCCAAAACTCACACAGCTACAGACGGGCAAGGCAAGCCTTCCAACCCAGGGAGCCCAATCGCAATGTCCCTGCTTTTAAGCATTATCCTGAACTATCTCCTCTTAGCCAGTCCAGGAAATGCTAACAGGGTTTACCATATGCCAGACACTGCTAAGCACCTCTCTTACCTATCAGGAGAGGTGGTGTCCTCTTCTCTTGTGATAATATGTGAAAAACACTTAGCACAGCACCTAAACTATAGCAAGTAATTGATACATGTGGTTATTATGATACTATTCTGTATGCTTAGTTATTTATTAAATCCAAATAGTGCAAATAAAACAGATAAAAATGGCATCGATTTTTGGAGGTATCAAAATTAGAACAATACCAAATCTATAGAGATAGAAAGTAGATTCATTGTTGCCCAGGTGTAAGGGGATTAGGTGTGGCTGCTAAAGGTTTACTTTTGTGGGTGACGGTAACATTCTAAAATTGATTGAGGTAAGGCTCGTACAATGATGTGAATTTACGAAAATCCATTGGACGGCGTACTTGAAATAGGTGAATTGTATGGTATGCAAGTAAATAATAAAGTTGTAATAAAAAACTGGGGCCATAGGAGAAAGCGGTATGTGGTTATTACCTCCCTCAGTGCATTATCTTGTGCCTCCATGGAGAATCATCCTGCTCTTATTCCATAGGAAGGAATCCTTTACCACCACTGGCATCTGTCTGGTGAGTCATCACTGCCAAATTCATGACTTACTCTCAGATGTCAGAACTAGTGTTATACCTGGATTTGGATTTGGCTGCATCCGAGCCGTTTCGGTGTGAAAATAGCCTTCGTTTTCTGGGCTCCCCGGGGAACAGAATATTCCCCAACACGAAGAGAAAAGAGTGTGAGACATCCCAACAAAAAGAGGTCAGAGGTGAGGATGGACTAAGCTTAAGTAACTCTCAAAGATGAGGACAAAATCTGTCTGGGAAGTGTGGATGCACTATCTCCCTGCCTAGATGAATCTGAAAATTTCCATTTCAACAAACCAACTTATTTTGTTCCATTGTAATGATTTTCAGAATATGAATCCCCAGGCCCAGGCCTTAGTATTTTCCTAAGTGCAATGCACTCCTTCAAACTGTAATTAATGATAGACATAAGACTCTGGAATTCAAATTTCTAACTGGCCCAGATTATGCTTTCTATTAGAACAAAATGTTCTTATAAATGGGCTTAAAGGAACCTTATGAGAGAGGGGCTTTTTTTTTAAAATGTGAAATATCAAAGCATTCTATTACTTGTAATACAATACATTGTTTTCTGTTTCTGATTGGACCGCACTTTTAAGAAGTTACGTATTCAGACGTAGAGCATCAGTCAATTTGCATTCCCTGAACTTCATCAAACAGCTATCAAGTGACTGCTCTGAATAAGAGCTCTACTAAAATGCATAGTGCTTACTATATGCTAGTTTCTTTCCTTTTTCTGTGATAGTTGTTGTCATGGAAACATGAGGACTAAGAGTCATGGGTCCCTGCTCTTTGCTATTTTCTTAAGGAGATGGGGATGGGTTAACAAGACAGGCAAAATATATGGTTACAGAACAAAAAAAGAAGGTCATTTCTGTCTCTACCACATAACATTCTTAGTTTTTATCTTATAATAAATGTTAATAGTTATTGCTCAGGTCTTATATCTTTTCCAAACAAAATGCCATTTCATCATCATGATCTCCCCTACTGGGGTGGTGGGTGATTTCACAATTTACGGATAAGAAAACAGAATGGTAGAGAACAATGTCCACACATATTATATGATTCTGCGCAGGATTCTTAAGATATCATCTGCCCATTTGGCCACAGTGGGTTAATCAGAGTACTTTATCCTTCCTGGCTAAAGTAAGAGATCTAGGACTGGGCTAGTGATTCAACTGAACCATTCAAAGTTCTCTCGTATGTCTTCCCCTCCAAAGCTTTAAGAAAGAGGTCCATGGAAAACTGTCATAATTTTCTCACACCACGGGACGTGTGACAGATGAGCACATGCCAATATGGATGAAGAGCCAAGAATGAGAGAAAGGAGAGCAGGAAGAAACGAAAGCCCTGAGTCCCTCAGTCCATTTATGCCTGAATCCTGATTTAACCTTTAACTTTGCAGTTGTGTGATGCAATAAATTCCTCTTTGATTTCTTTGTTCATCTCTTCAGGGAAGATTGAGTTGATTTTCTGCCGCTTGTAACTCAGATGCCACATGGTCATTAAAAGTGGAGCTATTGATGTTGAATATCTTTTCATGTGTCTGTTGGCCATCTGTGTGTCTTCTTTAGAAGAATGTCCATTGAGGTCCTTTGCCCATTTAAAAAATTGGATTATTTGTGTAATTTTTATGTTTTCAATTGTATAAGTTCTTCACATATTTTGGATATTAACCCCATATCAGATATATCATTTGCAAATATCTTTTCCCATTTAGTAGGTTGCCTTTTTGTTTTGTTGATGGCTTCCTCCACTGTGTAAATGCTTTTTATTTTGATGTAGTCCTGATAGTTTAATTTTGCTTTTGTTTCCCAGAGGAAATGAATATAGAAAAATGTTTCTATGGCTTATGACAAAGAAAGTATTGCCTATGTTTCCTTCTATATATGGTTTCAGGTCTTGGATTTAGCTCTTTAATCTTGAGTTTATTTTTTGTGTATAGTAAAAGAAAGTGGTCTAGTTTCATTCTTTTACATGTAACTGTCCAGTTTTCCCAACTTCATTTGTTGAAGAGGCTTTTTCCTATCATATATTTTTGCTTCCTTTGTTGTAGATTAATTTACCATATAATCATGAGTTTGTTTCTGGACTCTCTATTCTGTTCCATTTATCTATGTATCTATTTTTATGCCAATACTATATTGTTTCCATTACTACAGCTTTGTAGTATAACTTGTAATCTGGGATTGTAATACCTCCAGCTTTCTTTTTCTTTCTTAAGATTGTTTTGGCTACTCATCACTAATTATCAGGGAAATGCAAATTAAAACCACAACAAGATGTCACTTTACACCTGTCAGAATGGCTAAATCAAAAACACAAGAAACAACAAATGTTGGTAAGGTTGTAGAGAACAAGGAATCCTCGTGCACCATTGGTAGGAAGGCAAAACTGATGTAGCCACTGTGGAAAAGTGTGGAGTTTCCTCAAAAAAATTAAAAAAAGAATTACCATATGATTCCAGTAATTCCATTACTGGATAGTTACCCAAAGAAAATGAAAACACTAATTTAAAAAGATATGTGCACCTCCATGTTTATTGCAGCATTATTTACAATGGCCAAATTATAGAAGCAACCTAAATGTCCATTGGTAGATGAATGGGTACAGAAGACGTGGTATATTTTTATAATGGAATATTATTCATGCTGTAAGAAAGAATGAAATCTTGCCATTTGCAACAATATGGATGGAATTAGTATAATGCTAAGTGAAATAAGTCAGTCAGAAAAAGACAAATGCCATATAATCTCACTCATATGTAGATTTAATAAAATAATAAATGAGCAAACAAAGGAAAAGAGGAAACAAAAATAACAACAACAATAAAACCAGACTCTTAAATCCAGAAAACAAAGTGGCCAGAGTGGAGATGGATGGGGAGATGGGTGAAATAGATGGAGGAGATTAAGAATATACTTATCATCAAGAAATGTATGGAATTGTTAAATCATACAGTATGGTTTTTAGTATTATGCCTAAAACTAATATAACACTGTGTGTTAAATATATTTAAATTTAAAAAGGAGAGTTAAGACTTGTACCCAATGTGTCTGTGTACATGGTCCTCCTGGTCCATGTTCTTGACCATAAGGTTTATTTGTAAATAATAACAGCTTCCACTTAAATGGAAGACTCTTACAGGCATTGAAAACTTTACTTCAAATATTCTTCTGCTAGGGAACTGTGTAAAGACACAGTTGATAGAAGAACCAGTGCTTTATGCTAATAATAACTAAACAGTCAGTATCCCCCAAATAAATATATAGTGACAAGAGGCTTACAGAATAAAAATAAAGCACATAAATACTCGTGGGGACTAGGTGATATTGTGAAATTACTGTAGAGGAAGTTCTAATAGACACATCATACCACATGTTGTATTTAAATTAACATTTAAAAATTAATATAAAAAATGCTCTAACCAGATGGTGTTTGCCTATAAAAATCAGGAAGCAGTTATTCTTAAAAGTCCACAAAGTATGATCTGGGAATCTCTCAGAAAGAAAGAATAGTGAGCAGAATCATAGAAGGATGGAAAATAAAAGACTTGTGAAAGCTTAATTGGGGTGAGAGAATCTCCCCAAAGAAACATGAGAAGGAATTTGATAAACACCTTAAATACTGATTAATTCTAACAGAAATGATATTCAACTATAATCTTTGGCAAAAGAAACAAAGTGAGAGAAC